AGGTTTTGTCCGTTTCATCATAAAATAGGTTGCAGTCAATATATAATAGTTACGACGCTTAAATGATATCGATAGTATCATTTCTCTTATTGTGGACTAAGGAGTTATGATATTTGCATAGCTTGAGGTTGGGCAGTACATACAAGGTATGTGAGGCTATCTCTTTCCTTATTTTGCAAGACTCCGATTGTACATGATGTAATGAACGAGCTTCAAAAGACACTCTAGTCTTAGAAGCTTGTAGTACTTGCATTGTTTCCCTTCTTATGGAACAGTTGATGTTGAGGTTGCTTCTCTTATTCTTAAGTTATCAATCTTGTTGTTACTTCTTGATTCTTGCAAGATTCATGTTGAATAATTAGTCCTAATATCATGTACGGAGGTTACTGACCTTACGTCACTCTGAAAGGTTCAGAATATGATTCCAATGAGTCTAGGATGCATTATATATATGTATCTAGTTTACTCTACCGAGCCATGCTATAGTCGGCCGGATACGACACCTATTGTGAAACCACTGATTAGTTGGGATTTAGTAAACAATGGGAAGCTTAGTAAATATTGAAGCAGGTAGATAGGGGTTGACTAAAGAGCTTCATCAGCTAGCCAATATAAGAATTAGATTGTTAGACTCTAATGACGGAGGTGTTACTATACAGAATACAGTAGAATCATCTTTGGTAACCTAAGTAAAAGCACGGCAATATGAAGATACTACCTTAGTATGATTAGGAGAGAACATTTAGCAGTGTAAAATTATGGCTTTCGAGATTAGAGGAGATGGGGCACTGAGATACTAGGGCCAATTATGTGTGCCTAATGTGGCAGGGTTGTGAGTGAAGATTATGATTGAGATTCATCAATCCCGATATTCCATTCATCCCGGCTCGACAAAGATGTATCATGAAGTTAAGGACCAGTATTGGTGGGATAACATGAAGAAGTCTATTGCAGAATTTGTAGCCCAATGTCCTAATTGTCAACAAGTAAAGATCGAGCATCAGAAACCCGATGGATTGATTCAAAATATAGAGATTCCGATCTGGAAATGGGAGGTGATTAATATGGACTTCATTATTGGATTACCCTGCTCTTATCATAAGTTTGACTCCATCTAGGTGATAGTTGATCGACTTAAAAAATGTGCCCTTTTTCTGCCAGTTAAAACAACTTACACAGCTGAAGATTATGCAAAGTTGTATATCAAAGAGATTGTTAGGCTTCATGGTGTGCCGGTATCTATCATATCAAATTGAGGAGCTCAATTTACGTCTAACTTTTGGAGGTCATTTTAGAAAGGTTTAAGCACACAAGTGAATCTCAGCACTGCATTCCATCCGCAGACTGATAGATAGGCTGAACGTACCATTCAGACACTTGAAGATATGCTACGAGCATGTGTTCTAAATTTCAAGGGGAATTGGGATGACCATCTACCACTCATAGAATTTGCCTACAATAATAGTTACCATTCTAGTATTAATATGGCTCCGTACGAGGCAATGTACGAGAGAAGATGTAGATCACCAGTTGGATGGTTTGAAGTCGGTGAAACAGAATTATATGGGCCAAATTTGATTCACCAAGCCATTGAGAAGGTGAAAGTGATACAAGCACGACTGAGAACGACGCAAAGCAGGCAAAAGTCTTATTCCGATGTACGACGTCGTGATATGGAGTTTGAGGTTGGTGATTGGTTTTTCCTGAGGATCTCGCCAATGAAGGGTGTTATGCATTTTGAGAAGAAGGTTAAGCTGAGTCTGCGATATATCGATCCATATAAAATTCTTTGATGAATTGGACAGGTTGCTTATGAGTTAGAATTGTCATCCGAATTGGAATTTGTCCACCCGATATTCTATGTATCTATGTTGAGGAAATATATTGGAGACCCTTCTCGAGTCGTCACTATCAAAGATGTACAAGTTACAGAGGATCTACCATATGAAGAAGTGCCAGTGTCTATATTAGATTGACAAGTCCGCAAGCTGAGAACAAAAGATGTAGCTTCCGCCAAAGTATTGTGGAGGAACAAGAATATGGAAGAAATAACATGGGAAATAGAAGAGGAGATGAATTCTAAATACCCTTACCTATTCCAGAATGAAGATATCAAGGATGCCAGGGGAACGCAGGATGCATTAGAAGGTGAAACAGCTCTATGAGGTAAGAAATAGCTTTAGAATACTCTTCCTCAATACAAAATTGCAGATAATAATGTACATATCCATAATGATTTGTGTATCCTTGTGAGGTAATACGTTGGGTTTGACTGCTTGCAAGTTTGGCTAGTGTCCATATTATAGGGGAAACTCGGCCGAAAATTGTTGTTGGAATCCACGATGATTTAGACTCCCCATAAACCCTTACATTCGAGGACGAATGTTCCTAAGGAGGGGAGGGTGTTGCAACCCATATTCACGTACGTTAGTTCATGCCATGAGTTAGGAGATGTAAATCCAAGAAGATATTGTCTTTGAGATGATAAGAAGTTAATCCTATTGGTCTTAAATGATACAAGGGTGTATAAGAGTGGTTAACAAGTATTAGAAGTTAAACGAATCAAGGATGTTGTAACCCGTATTTTTGGGTAAACCTAGAGGTGTTTAATATATTCAAGAGGTCGTGTTTTAAGTTATTTGAATCATATAATATCCGTATTATAAGTCTTGAAGTAAAACGAGTTATGAAACAAAAGTCGGCAAAAGTTGTCGCAACTTAGGTTCATAATTTTGCTTAAATTTTAGGTCAAATGTTACTTTGCTTTACTCCCAATTTACTTGAAATTACGGGGTGATATACCCACCAAATTGAAGATCTATGAGTAGTTTCCAATCCATTAAACTTTTCATCAATACGATCACGGAGTTGAGAGATATTCGTGTTTTCGTGAGACTGCGCCAAGTAGCTTCTATGGGGCCCACATAAGCGGTTTAAGATATATGGATATATATCCTCCACTTGTCTTAAGTCATATTTTTAGTATATTCAGACCTTAGACTCTAAAAACATTCTCTCAAGTTTCTCTCATAATCCAAGACCCAAACAAAGGGCAAACAACACAAATCAAGTGTCGGGAATCCCGTGGCGCTAGTAAGTTTCTTGTTGTTGCTCAGTTTTGTGTTGTTCCAGCTCATGTGTGAGGTTGTTTTAAGTGGTTTATGTTCTGTAAGTACTCCATCAAGTTTTTAATATCAACCCTATGTGATTTCAAGTCTTCTAAAGTGATTCTAGTGCCGAAAAACCCTAATTGATTGCTAGTTTCGCTTTCTTGTTCTTGTGGCAGCATTGGAGAGATATTTCGTGGACAGTTAAGGTCATTGGAGTTATTTTTTATGTTTAAAGGTAATGAACCTCTTACTCTACATGTATTTAAGATTATCCAAGTTGCGGCTAAGTCATTGAAGCTAGAACTTGTGAAATATATATTGAAAGGCTTGGTAGTAATGTTGTTAGTTGGTGAACTATTTTGATAGGCTCAATATGATTATTATTGATATTGTTTGGGTTGTTTGGTGATTGATTTAACTTTTGGAATGTCATATAAATAGAGGAGGTGTTGTCCGTTTCATCGTAAAATAGGTTGCGGTCGATATATAATAGTTACGATGCTTAAACGATAACGATAGTATCATTTCTCTTAGTGTAGACTAAGGAGTCTTGACATTTGCATAGCTTGAGGTTGGGCAGTACATACAAGGTATGTGAGGCTATCTCTTTTCTTCTTTTGCACGACTACAATTGTACATGATGTAATGAACGAGCTTCCAAAGATACTCTACTCTTAGAAGCTAGCAGTACTTACATTGTTTCCCTTCTTATGGAACAGTTGATGTTGAGGTTGCTTCTCTTATTCTTATGTTTTCAATGTTGTTGGTACTTCCTGATTCTTATAAGATTCATGTTGACGAGTTGGTCCTAATATCATGTACGGAGGTTACTGACCTTACGTCACTCCGAAAGGTTAAGAATATTATTCCAATGAGTCCAGCATACATTATGTATATATATCTATTTTACTCTACCAAGCCACACTATAGACGACTGGGTATGACACCTATTGTGCAACCACTGATCAGTTAGGTTTTACCGAGATTCACATGGCCGGGTACAATTCTATCGAGCTTTATGAGCCTTATGGTTGCCCCGCATGGAAATAACTCCTAAAAATAGACCAAAAATAAATTTTGAGGGATTTTAGAAGTTTTTCTTTTTTTAGTTGCATTTCATGCATTTTTAATATTTTAAAAATCATAAAAAAAATCATAAAAATTATCATATTTTAATTTCATGTCATCTTAGGTTCAATTTGCATTTAGGAATTAATTTTATTAAGCAAATAATTACAAAAAATGGTCATTTTTACATATTTAGATTTTAGCCTTTAAAATTAGCATTTTTCTATAGTTTTAAGTTAATTAGTTGCTCTAATATTAGAAATAGATAAAAAATTTTAATTTCTACAAAGATGGATTAATTTAGGATTTTAATTGATTTGATTAGAATTTAAAATCAAAGAAAAATAAGGAAAAATAAAGAAAGAAAGGAAATGGATCTTGTTTTGTTGTTTAATTCGGACTGGGCCAATTTGGCAATTGTCCAAACTCCTCACAATCCGCCCATTTTATCCCAAAATCGGATCCCCCC